TCCTCAGCGTGTCCGCACCTCGAGCCAAGAGGCAGAGCCCGAGGCCGGTGGGCAAGGGGCGGGTGGGCTGGCAGGAGCCTGGGGCCGGGGAGGCAAGCAGGGCAGGAGGGGCAGCAGTGGGCCCTGGAGGTGCAGCTGCCCTCAGACCCTGACCTCAGACGCTGGTGGGCGCGGGGGGGCAAACTGGCCAGGAGACATGGAGCCCTGGTCTTCCCGCCGCCCTGCCCAGGAGGAGGCCTCCTTGGGGCTGCCTGCCTGGCATGCCATCCTCAGCACCCAGCACAGGTGTGGAGTCAGCGCCGACAGACCCCGCGCATGGGGCTCTGCCCTCACTCTCCCGCCCCACCTGCACACCCAGCTGCGTCTCCTTCGCCGACCCAAGCAGCCCGGGGGGCTTCTGACCGCTGCTTCCAGCCTGCTGTGCACCAAGAAGTGTGACAAGTCAAGCTTGTCCCAGCTTCGTTCAGCCTGTTCGCGGCCAGGCTCCAGGGGAGGCCAGGGCACTGCTGTCAGCGGACGGTGTTCTCCTTGCTACCTGTGCTCTCGCGGCCTCGGAAGGGCAGGGCTCTGCCCCGGAGCGCGGCAGAGGGCGGACGCCTCTCTCTGCTCTCCCCGCCCTATGGGGTGGGGAAGGCGGGGATGGTAACTTTGGCCGAGGTCCCAGGCAAGTGTCCACCCTGGCCCTCTGACCTGCGCCTGCTTTTGGACGGGCCCAGAGGAAGTTACTCATTGCCCAGAAACCCAGCTCGGGTAAAGGACAGAGGGAACTCCAAAGGTCTCTCCATACCCACCACCCCAACTCAGACCCAAACAGCCTCGAGTAACCGGGTGTCCCTGCCATGGAGGAAACAGAGAGGTCTGGACCACAGGTGATACCCTTGGTGCATAATTAGTGTCCCTGGGGAGCACTGCCAGGGTGAGGCTGTGTGTCAGGGACCTCCCAGGATGGTGGCTCCCCACCGCACTTGGATCAAAAGCTGAATTTCTTGCCATGACTTTTTACAGTGTGGCCCCTCTGAGCTCATCCACTCTCTCCCTCCCTCCCTCCCTCCCTCCTTCTGCTTCGGCCCCACTGTACATTTTACATCAACATCATCCCTGCCTCACCGTGCAGGAGGTGATCAGTCAGGTTGTAAGATCAATGATGTGGGGAAGGGGATGCAGAGAAGATGGCTGGTGCTACCGCTGCTTCTGTGCATTAAGAGGCGTCTATGAGGAAGGAAGCCATACGCCAAGAATGGCCAGGCAGAAAGACAGGGGAGCCTGATGACCATAGATAGGCCATGCCAGCCGGGAGGGTCCGCATCCGGGCCTTTAGGTGAGAAATGCAAGCTCCTTCTTTAGTCCAGTTCCATTACAGCTTCCCCCCTGACACGGGGCCATGTGGTAGACAGTTGGTGTGTGCACCTTGAAAGCCAGGACAGAGGTAGGGAGTTTATCACGTAGGCAACAGAGGTCTCTGCATCCTTCTGGTAAGGGCAGAGATGTGAGCTGGCGAGCAAGGAAACTGTGCCACGCCCAGAGGAGAGCTGGTGAGGGCAGGGTGAGGGCAGCTGCAGCCTCCAGACCTATAGCCCAGGCAGCCATGCAGGGCCTGGCGAGTCACAACAGCCCAGCCAGTGCTGACCACACACATCCCCGTCCCGGCGGCAGAAATACCAAGATTTGTCCATGCTGGTTGGTGAACAGCCCTGGGGCCCTAGAGGGGGGTCCCTATCCCAGGGGGCAGCTCTGGGAAGCCCCAAGACCTCCCCACCACCAGGCAGCTCTTGGGCTCCGTCCAGGCCCCCTTCTCTGAGCGGCACCATGGTCAGCTGCACGGAATCTCGGCCCTGGCCTCTGGCCTGCATCTCAAGCTGTCTGGAACACACCCTAGTGTCCCAGAAGCCCCGTGTGCTCGTGGAGAAGACAAACTCGGGTGACCGGGGAGGAATCCTGTACCTTCCCTGGCTCATCAGCCAAGAGGCTTTCTGCAGCATGGCCCGGCTCTGCCCACTTCAGGGGGCCCATCGCCCCAAAAGTGGCAGGCTCAGTCACCCCGTGCTAGCTCACTCAGAGCTCACCATAGCCCAGGAGAGGCACCCCATCACTCACGGAGCAGGTGGAGACAGTGGGAGGCTTTTCTCTCCCTCCCCCTGCCTTGGCCCCACTAAGGCCTGCCCGCGACGGAGCCAGAGGCGGTCACATGCCCATATCGCCTGTGCAGCCCACTGAGGGCCCACAGCCATGGCCACGCCGGGGCCCAGTCACCGTGGGGAAGACTGGGCTCTGCCCCTCCTCCTGAGGACCCCCGGCCGCCGAGGCCCGGTGAAAGTGCCACGGGGTCAGCCCCAGCACAGAACCCAGTCTCTCCCAGCAGAGGCCTCTGGAACTTGGACCCTGGCCTTCCCAAAGACCCTCAGAGTGGGGTTCTTCCCTCACGCTGCACCAGGAATTGCCAGAAGGAACTGCTGGTTCCAGACCCCACCCCAGACTCGACCAGAGCGAGCTCCCGGGCCACCGCCGGTGACCGCGCCTGCTGTGCCCGCCAGTCCTTGGCCAGGCTGGGCTCGAGGCCACCGCCAGCGCGTGGGCGGATGTGAAAGCAGACGAGGCCAAAGCCACGGGCTCCGGCTAGCCCTCGGTCACAGCCTGCCGGCCTCGGTGCCCGGGGCTGACGGCCCTGGGCAGAAGTTCTCGGCGTGCCTGGTCGGAGCTGCCATGTGAGGCTGTGCCCTGGCTCAGCCCCTTCCAGTGCCTGGCCTCCACTCCAGGGTCCTCGCTCCGGCAGGAGGGGTGGACCGAGGGGTGGAGGGAGAAACATGCCAGGACCAGCGCTGACCAAGGGGCCCCTGGACAGAGCAGTCAGCAGGCTCAGGGTCTCAGAAGCCCCTCCCCACAGCCCCCTCAAAGCAGCCCGTGGCCTCAGAGAGCGTTTCCTGCAGATTTGCAATTAAAGGAGGTGCTGAAGGTGATGGCCCAGCACAGCACTTTCCTAGGTGCTGTGATCTAATACATTAAAGACTTCAGGAGCGGGGCTTCCCTGGTGGCGCAGTGGTTAAGAATCCGCCTGCCAAGGCAGGGGACACGGATTCGAGCCCTGGCCTGGGAAGATCCCACATGCCGTGGAGCAACTAGGCCCGCGAGCCACAACTACTGAGGCCTGCCCTCTAGAGTCCACGAACCACAACTACTGAAGCCCGTGCATCTAGAGCCCGTGCTCCGCAACAAGAGGAGCCACCGCAATAAGAAGCCCGTGCACCGCAACGAAGACCCAATGCAGCCAAAATAAATACATAGATTTATATATAAAAAAAAGGCATCAGGAGTGACAGCTCCTGCGGAAACGCGGCACCTGTCCCAGTGCCCACCGGCGGCCCGACACCCTGTCCACTCACAGGACGGCTGAGGGAGTTGCACTCAGGACCACAGACACTTCCTAGCTGCCCTGCCCTCTGGCCACCTTCCCCGGATAGTCTAGACCGCAGCAAGGACTCCACACAGGGCTTCTGGGCCCCTCGCCTTGGGCGGCGCACCCCCAGCCTCAGCCGCCCACACCTGCTCCTCCTCCATTCACCGCGCGACTCCCGCCCCCTCCCGGCCCATGGGATGAACGCTCGCCCAGCCCAGACCCGTGCCCTACCTCATGAGGCTGGTCATCCGGACCCCAGGCATCCTCTGCAGGCCTGCCCTGACCCTGAGCACCCTGCTAGCCGGCCTCTGAGTTCTTTCCACACTTGCTCACGTGCTCATAGGCTGCTCTGTGCTTGAGCGTGAAGCCTGTATGAGGGGGGCTGGCCATCTGTCCGTCCACAGCTCCTGCCCACGCAGGCCAGGACACACCAGAGAGGCAGCAACTGAGGCTCTCACACAGCACAGACCCCCCGACGGGACCACGTTCCAGTCCACAGAAACTTGCCTAGACGCCAGTCGGTATTCAGCTGCCCTTCCATCCGCCTCACACGAAGAGCCCTCATGCACACTGGCCCCGCTGCCTGGACACTTGTCCTCCTTGGTGCCCAGTGCCACCCCCAGGGGGCCCCACCCCGAGGACGAGGGGCTCCACCACGGCGGCGCGGCCACCTCCTGCCATCTCACCACTGAAGGCTCTTCAGGTGGGCTGCTAGCTCGTTCACCAAGGACAGCGTGCCCAGCCTGCCCGGGTTCCAGCTGTGTGACCTCGGGCAGGTTCCTTACCCTCTCTGTGCCTCGGTCTCCACTTCTACATCAGATGGCGACAGTCCCTGCCCCACAGGGCTTTGGGGCGGTGAGTGCCAGGCGCCTGCACCTGCTGGGTCTCACGCCTGTGCCTGCTGCTGCTGGGCGCTGCCCCCGAGAGCCAGTCCCGAGTGGCGCCCCCAGCTGCATCCCTGCCCACACAGAGCTCAGCACACAGTAGGTGCTCTGCAAGTAACTGCTGAGCCAAGAGCTCCTCCCCTTCCCCCAGGACACACAGGGCCCTGCAGATGGCCAGGACCAAGGTCTCCTGCACCCCAAGGGCCAAGGCAGGAGCTGCGGAAAGGAACGCAGAAGGATGCCGGCACCTCCGGGAGGCCCCTCGGCTGTCCCTGTGCTAACTCTCCCACTGCATAAATCCCGAGTTAGTAGAAACTTCATTGTTCCTGAAAAGCAGGGGGTAGGAAGGAATTGCGAGGGGCCAGGCGCTGTTGCTATTAGCGGAAGTCTCTGTTTTGGGGTGATATTTACGGCCCCCAGCATGGAAATGCAACAGAGTGTGGCCCCCGCTCTGCCCACGGCTCCCCCATCCCAGGGAACCCTGGACTGAGACAGCTGCTGACAGGCCAGGAGCTGAGGCCCGGTCCTGCAGTCCCAAGGGGCCTGGGCAGCATCCCAGGTCCCAGCGTGGACATCTACCACATCTGGTCCTCAGCCAGGTTGGGGAGGCGACAGTCACCCGCACACCCCACAGGAGAACCACGACCTTTCTGCCTGGTGTCCAGGGCCCTGCCTGCTGGGGTCCAGGTCAGCAGGAGGGGCAGGTGAGGGGGTGGAAGGCTTACCTTGTCATCCCCGTCGCTCTCGCTGTCGCACTGCAGTGGGGGGGAAGAGAGAGAGAGAGGTGAGTCAGTGCCCCACAGGCGGGTCGGGTGCTAGGGGCTGAGAAGGTGAGAGTGTGGGAGGGGCCTGGGCCTGGGCTGGAGGGGAGGGCCAGAGGCGGCGGCTCTGGCTGCCCCACGCCCCGACTCGGGGCCTCAGGTCTGGGATGGGGGTGTCCCCAGCCAGCAGGACCAGGGGCCCAGGCACCGGGAGCCGGGAGGGATCTGGGGGCCTAGGCAAGCCCTGGGTGGGAGCTCCATCGAGGACCTGGGCAGGGGGCCGGTCGTGGGGGTAGGCGAGGCAGAGGTGAGACAGAGGAGTGCACGTGACAGATGCAGGCAGATGCAGGCCAGCACCAGCACGCCCCAGCAGGCCCGAGCTACCCGGTAACCCCAGGAAACACGTGGAGCAGCCCCTGGCCCCCTCAGGCTCCCTCCCAGGTGCTGAGCTTTCCAGGCAGCAGGGGGGCCGTGGTGAGATGCAAGGGGCTCCTGGCTGCTTATGAGGCCGAAGGACCAGGGCTCAGGGGAGGGACTCTGGGCACTGCCTGGGCAGGGAGACAGAGAGGCCCAGCCTCGGGTGGCCTGAAGGGGCCGCAGGGCGGGCGGGGGGCAGTGAGGGCTGGGACCCGTGGAAGACAAGCAGTCAGGACAGCCTGTGCTGCAGGTGCTGCTTGGCGGGGTGGGGGCCACCTGCTCCCCCTGCCCTCCCTGCAGGTGCCCCAGCAGAAACCGCTCCACGTGGTAGCGCAGCTGGTTAAGGGAAGATTGTGAAAATCGTGCAAACAAATCCTTGTTTTCCATTTTCAGTGAGCAGAGCTTTAAAAAGAAAGCCTGCTCTAGAAACCACAGCAATTTTCCCCCTAAAAGAATATAAACCATAAAGAATCTCTTCCCAGCAACTGTAATTGTGACACGTTTATGTCAAGTGAATTATATTGCTGAAAATAAATCTCCCCGGGACGCACAGGAGGGTGATGGGCTCCAGGCAGACATGTGGAGGTGCTCCACAGACACGTGCTGTTTCTGTGGGGTCCTCCACCAGACCCATTCTGCGATCGGGCGCACGCCCTCCGTGCCCTGGGGCGAGGGCTGGGGTGGGTCCAATGACAGATTTCACCGAGTTGTGGCGACCTGCCTGTGCTTTATCAGCCACTCAACGCAGGCGGGAGAGTGACCCTGGGGACAGGGGGGATGGGCATTTGGGGGGATCTTCCTGAGGCTGACAGCAGCCCCATGGACCCTCTGGCCCCCAACCTCGCACTGCACCCTGCAGGGCCTGGCCCAAGACCTCCAGGGCGGGTGTCCCCTTCACAAGTGGCAGAAGGGACCACGGGCCCAGTCTCCTGGCCGTACAACCACGGTGAGAGGCCAGGTCCGCCCCTCATGGCTGGCTGGCTCTAGCAGGGTGGCTGAAACCCAGAGACAGAGCAGGAAGGCGAGAAGGGGAGGTGGGAGATGAGGCTGGAAAGGCGAGTGGCCAGAACACGCAAAGCTTCACTGCGCAGCGAGCTTGGACTCAGCTTTGTTGTGCGGCCACATGACCGGCACTTCCGGACGTTCTCTGTGCCAGGAGGGAGGGGTGGGGGGAACTGGGGGGTCGTGGCCTGTGGGAGCGCGGCCTGGAGGGGGGGCTGTGGGGGACAGGAACCCCTCTGATGCTGCAGAATTAGCAGAGCTGCCAGACACCCCCAATCAGGCCTCTTTATGCCTAACTAGCCCTTGAGGTGGAAACTGCAATCCCATCAAACCGTCAGGGGGCCGGGCCTCGGGCGCAGCACACCTGTCCCTTGGGCAGCCTGGAAGCACCCCTAGGCCTGGCCCTGCTCCACCCCAGGCCCGGTTTCATCCCTTCTGCGCTTTCGGACGGTGCCACTGGTGACAGCTAAATGATCTGACATCGAGGAGGGGGTGAGGGTGCTTTCCAGCGAGTCCATGGAGCCTATAATTAACCAAACAGCTCACCGTTTTCAGCCAGCACAGGCTGCGCTGCAAATGAATTCACGTTATTAAGTCCTACTGAATTAATGTTTAACTGCAATAGAGTCGGAATTGAAAGGCAATTAATCAGGACAAAGAGAGAAAAAGAGCCACATCTGTCTTGTGGGAGCTGCCTGAGTGGGGCGACCTTCACGGGGCTGCGATGGGCTGGGCGGGTCCTGGAGGGCGTCATCCTGGTGTGGGTGCGGGTCCAGGCAGGGAGTCCACAGAGCAGGGGACAGACCCTAGGCCCCAAGGGATGTGCTGGGTATGGTGGGAGCCCAAGACATGGGCTCTGGAGCAGACGCCTGCTCTGACGCTACGCTGTGCAGCCCTGGGCAAGTGCCATGACCTCTCTGTGCCTCAGTTACGCTTCTGTAAAACAGAGCCAACAGCCCACCTACAGGATTGTTGTACAGCTTATATGAGTGAACACATGCAAAGCACTCGGACAGTGCTGGGTGTGTACTCATCATGATATACCGTGTGGTTGTATTTTCACCACCACCATCATCACCGTCACCATCACCACCATCATCACTCAGTATTATTATTGTCTTCCAACTAGGCCAAGCATGAGGGTTTCCCCTTTGGAATACGGCTGAAGGCCCAAACCTGAGAGTTTCAGGGAGGTGTCTCTCAGCCCTGGAAGTGCCAGCTCTTGCCCGACCCTGATGGCTGGTGGCCAGAAAGGGAGCACTCCTTGGCCCAGATGAGAGCCCAGTATCAACTCTATCCTTCCCTGCTTGCCCCCAGCTCCAATCCCACTCAGGAGGCAGCACACCCCTCTACTTGCCTACCAGTTCCTCCCAGCCTGGTCGAGCCAGCAAACAGTGAACCAGTAAGACTACTCATCCAAGACCAGCCCCTCTGCCCATCCTTCAGTCAGCCCAGAGGGTTACAGTCCTGAGTGCGCCTCAGCTCACCCGAGGGACCTCAGACCCCGTAAGCCTGAAGTCTGGGCCAGGTGACTCTAATGAGTGGCTGGGGAGAGGCACCCCGCTGGGAGCTCAAGACCACCCCGTGTAGGTCAGAGGCAGATGTGAGCTCAGGGTCCCGCATCCCAAAGCCCCAAAGCTCAGCTCTTCCACGTCCCAGGCCACCGTGTCACTCACGCTAATAGATGTGACGTGGGGATGCCCAAGGCTTAACTGCGTGTCGCCCACGTTCACGGACGTGATGTGACGAGGGACCCATCCATGGGTGGACATGGCCTTGAGACACAGCGTGAGAAGCCATAAGCTGGATGAGGCTTTGTTTGGCCTAACTGGCCTAATTTTTTTAAAAAAAATCGCTGCCGGCTTCCCTGGTGGCGCAGTGGTTGAGAGTCCGCCTGCCGATGCAGGGTCAAAGAGGAAAACAAAAAATCCCTAGAGATAGGGCTTCCCTGGTGGCACAGTGGTTGAGAGTCCCCCTGCCGATGCAGGGACACGGGTTCGTGCCCTTGTCCGGGAAGCTCCCACATGCCGTAGAGCGGCTGGGCCCGTGAGCCATGGCCGCCGAGCCTGCGCGTCTGGAGCCTGTGCTCCGCAACGGGAGAGGCCACAACGGTGAGAGAGGCCCACGTATCGCAAAAAAGAAAAAAAAAAATTCGCTGCCAATATTTAAAACTCTGGAGATTTCTCATGAGACCCTGCATCTTACTGAGAATGCGGAGCCACATGCCCACATACAGCCCTGCCCAGTGCCAGGCAGGGCTCCGCTGGGCCCCCTCCCCGCCTCTCCTGACGTCCAGGGCCCAAGTGCTGGCCCTTGTCACATTCTGGGGACATAGCCCCCCGGTGGGTCCTGGAGCCCGGGGCTCCGTCCTGCCTTCACTCTCGGTAATGGTGGCTGCTCGTTTCACCTCTCTGAGCCTCAGTTCTTCATCTGCCGAGACGGGGGGCCTCCGTGCTGCGGTGGCTTGGGGTTAAATTAGTCAGTGTGGGTGGAGAGCTCAGAGCAGCAGCTGGTTGGCAGTCTGGGCTTCATAAATGTGAGCTGCTGTCGTCGTCATCTCCACCTTCCTCAGTGTCACCCCCATCATCACCGTCATCTTCATCATCACCACTGTCACCTTCGCCGTCACCGTGATGTGCCCCGGCCCCTTCGTCCATATCACCCAACCAGCCCTTGGAGGCACCTGAGCCATCCACGGGCCTGGGCACAGACACTGTCACCAGACAGTGCCTGCTTCCCCGGGGGCACCTGCACAGCAGGTCTGGAGAGCTTGGCCTCCGTCACCGAGACCCTTCCAGAAACCTGGGCAGCTACTTGCTTGGGGCGAGGGCGGCTCACGGGCCTCCACAAATTGACACGGTTGTTCAGCAGCCGCAGAGACGGGCCTTGTTCTGCTCTCAGAGCGAACGTTCATTACCGCTGCGTCACAGCAGCGCTGAGGAAGGCTGCCTCTCCCACTCCCCAAACAAAGGCATGAAAAATTCATGGGCAGGGAGCCCTGCTGCTGAGCCTGTGCCCCCAGCAGACGTTCCAGCACCCAGGGCTGGGCCAAAGTCACCCATGCAGGCGGGGGTGTCCCTCCTGATCGCTGCGGAGTCTCCACTGTGCAACGGAGACACAGGTCGAGGGGCGGCCGGGGGGCTGCTGGAAGGAGGGTGTGAAACCGCCCCGGCCCTTCTCACTCAGGCGGCCCCACCTCCATCCAGGGGTCCAGCAGGCTCAGGGTCAGTGTGGCCTGGCGCTTGGAGGCGGGGGTGGGCCGGGCCCCTGCCCAGCAGCAGGGCCTGAGCTGCACAAGGGCTCGCGGAGGCCCTGACTGCAGAGATGCTGGGGGCCAAGGAGGGCCGGCCCCTCCCCCTGGCCTGGGCCGGGCTCCCAGTGGGCACCATCACCTGCAAAGGCCTGAGCAGCTGCGAACTGAAAAAGTAGGCAAGGTCCACGGCCTGTGCGTGAACGGAAGGTGACAGGACGTTCTGTTCAGGCCACCTGAGCATGGCGGCGAGGAAGGTCTGCGCTGCTGGGCAGCCGGTGCTGACCCCTGCCCTGGGTCGTAGCCATGTGGCTGGGGGTGTGCC